ATATATATATGTATATACAAATGCAAATATGTGTGTTGCTATTACGTTTCTTTAGGTTTTAGCTACAAAAAATCTTTTTTTATTGAATGCTATCGATTTTGATAAGCTTGATTTGGCAATCCCCTTATTGAGGTTGAAAGATGTCGAATGCTAAAATTGACGATAAGCAAAGCAATAATTTGATATTTTTAACTTGCTACGGAGATAGCACTAAAGTCCAAAGCTTATTACAACTTTTTTCATATGTACATACATATTTTTAGCACTTAATCATATGCGTGGTCGTAACATATTTAAACCGATTAATTAAGTCTCAAGGATTTGCTTTGTCATTTGAAAGATATTCAACATTTTTACGGAACATTTCACTTTTTTCATAAAGCCGTTAAAACTAGTTATTTCGTGGCGTTTTCTTTTCTCGAAAAAAATGTCACCTTTTTATATGGCAACATTATCAGAGTGCAACATTTTAAAGAAAGATCATGCAATATGCATGTGAAGATGCTGAGAAAAGAACACAAAGACTTCACAGCCCTGGCGCAGGGCGGAATAGATGCAACAATATTTCGAGAAAAGAAAACGCTATCAGTAAACGAATCTCGTATTAATCAAATGCTACTAACAAAAGGTTCAACGACATGTATTATCATCTTAATTTAGTTCCTAGAATTACGTACATTTTAAGCACATATTTTAAACCTCTTACATCCTTCCAGGTAAATGGTGGGGACCACAGAATCGCCAGCCAATACTCGCACTCCACGGTTGGCAGGACAATGCCGGTACATTCGATCGTCTATGTCCACTGCTGCCGGCGCACATTCCAATACTCTGCATTGATCTCCCCGGCCATGGTAAGTCGTCACACTATCCAAAAGGAATGCAGTATTTGATCTTTTGGGATGGCATTGCCCTCATACGGCGCATAGTACGCCGCTACGGTTGGGAGAATATGACACTGATGGGCCATTCCTTGGGTGGCGCATTGACTTTCATGTATGCGGCTAGCTTCCCAAATGAAGTGGAAAAACTCATTAACATCGATATTGCTGGACCAACAGTGCGCAATGTTGACCATTCTGCGGAAAAAACTGGCTGGGCAATAGATAAAATGTTGGATTACGAGAATTTATCGCTGAACAAGATGCCCTGCTATAATTATGAAGAAATGATTAAATTAGTTGTAGATGCGTATGATGGTTCAGTGGATGAAGAGGGTGCAAAGGTGTTGATGCGGCGTGGCATGTCACCAACACCAGCCGAAATAAAAAAGGATGGATTTAATTTTGCACGCGATGTGCGCTTGAAAGTGAGCTTGCTTGGCATGTTCACGAAAGAGCAAGTTATAGCTTATGCAAAGCTTATACGCTGTAAAGTACTCAATATACGTGCTGATCCCGGCATGACGTTTCAAAATCCACTATTTTACGCCGAGGTTATTGAAACGCTGAAAAAGAACGCAGAGTTAGTGATATTTGAGAAAGTACCTGGTACGCACCATTTGCATCTGGTTACCCCGGAACGAGTGGCGCCCGTAATAGCTGATTTTATGTTAAAGTCTTAAATATGACTAGTTGATTTAGTAGAGGCTCTAATCTACATTATAATACTAGTAACATCTAAATATATTTTTTAAGAAATTAAGCATGTGTATGCCACAAGTGGATTTTAAAATTAATTGACGTAAGAATGAAAATTATCAAGTATTAAATGTTTGCACTTCAGGATGCGTATGTGATACATTTTCTTTATTACAACAATTCAAAAAAAGGTTTGAAACGCTTTATGGAAAGAGATTGTCGGAAGCACCACCTTCCAAAAAGAAATGTAAGATTCTTCTATCGATTAAATATTTCAAATCTATTTACACTTAACTTTTATGAATTCAGCGCTTTTTATGTTTGAATGTCGTTGATGTTAATAATAGGAAGCAAGTTGAATGTGGGGCAATTTGGTACTTTAAAATTTTCTATAATTTACAATTAATACCAATTATAAAATTATCGGTAATTTTGCGCAAAAAATAAAAAGGCGAACAAATAAACAAAAAAAGTACGCACGCAAAAAAACTAAAATATCTAAATAATAACAATAATAAAAAGGCGTTATAGCATCACGCAATTTTTCGTTTTATTTACTTTACTAACCACCCTTCTGGCATTCTGCTTGTTGGCTTGACAACCAAGTGTTTGGTATAGACGAGACGCTTACAGCCAGTGGTTGTACATATTTTTAAGCTTAATTTTCTTATTTTTTTTTACCAAACTAGATGGCAGTGAACTTGCACTCAGTAGCTTTTCAAGTTTTCAATACAGAAAATAGTGGTTAATTATATACTAAACAAAGGAGTAAACGAGTTTCATAAATGGATGTAATCAGCGAAATTAATGAAAAGTATTCTGCATTGGAGGCAGAAATCGATAAGAGGTTGGAGAAAATGTAAGTAGTAACCGCTGTATGGAGATAGTGGCGAACTGATATGTACATATTTACATGCATATCAAAAGGTGCAAACTCTCAGCCCAAAAGTATGCACTATAAACGTGATGGTTTATGTTAATTTCGATAAGTAGACGGCCAATATCTGGAAACTTTAGGATTATAATAGATTTTGGGATTTTGTAATTATGGGTTGCAGTTAAATAGAGAAAACTTTACAGGTATAACTTAACTTCGCCATACGTATAGGTAAAATAGTAAAAATAATAAATATAGTATAAAATAGTAAAATTGGTTTTGCAAAGGATTTTCGGTTAAACCTTATCCAAGCACACCGTGATATGTTAATGTATAGTATTACGATTTGTATTTTATTTTTCAGCAAAGCCGATGAAAAGAAGTTGGAAAAGTTGCAGGAGCAAAACGGCAACCAAACTGCAGCGCAGACAACTAAAGTTCTTCCTACGAAGAATCAATCGCGAGAAATACAAATTTACTAAAGTAGGTATTTGGGCAATAAATTTATGCAAATGTGCATATAAAAAAAAAAAAAAATCGGTAATGTTTTCCATCGGAAATATAAAATTCAATACATGTTAATACTTCTGCCAAAATATTTCTTAAAAATATTAACGTTTAAAAATATAACTAGCTCCAAAAATCGAGTTTTTTTATAAGTAAATTTAGTTTTTAAAAAAATATATATATATTTTTTTTAATCACCTCATATTATCAAAGAGTTTGAGTTTAAAAACCGCAGCTTTTTTTTTTGGTGATGCATCCTAATGTACCTCACTACATAAACCCAGTGTTCATATTTGTACACACATACGTTACCCTAATATAAAAAGGCCCTAACTAANAAAAAAAAAAAAAAACGGTAATGTTTTCCATCGGATATATAAAATTTAATACATTTTAAGACTTCTGCGAAAATATTTCTTAAAAATATTAACATTTATGCGAGTTAACCTATTGGAAAATAACTAGCTCCACATTTTTTTATAAGTAAATTTAGTTTTTAAAAATGTATATCTATATTTTTTTTTAGATCACCTCAGAATATCAAAGAGTGTGAGCTCAAAAACCGCAGCTTTTTTTTTTGGTGATGCATCCTAATGTACCTCACCACATAAACCGAGTGTTCATATTTGTACACACATACGTTACCTTAATATAAAAAGGCCCTAACTAATTTTCTTTAAAAATTCAGCTTTATATAAAAGTGGGTAGATTACTCATTAAAGGCCTAATAAAATCTGAAAAATTACTGTTTATTAAAAATCATTTTATTACTACTTTGTAAATAAATAAAAATGTTAGACCTATCTATATTTTATTATAAAGTTAATTAGCTCCGTGTTAAGGGTAAGGAAAAGGAAGTCCAGGGGATTGATAATTCACTATCCACTTTCACGTGGGATCAATCCCCTTTATCCGCTTCGCCATATTTACATTAGTGTTGTACATACTAGTTATGTTATCACAGAAATCAATTACATATATATGTATATACTTAATATACATATGTACAGTATATAAATTGTATTAATTGTTGTTTTTTTGTGTTTTTACCTATTCTTGTAGTCATTGGAAATAGCCAAAGCGCGTTTACGTTCGCGTTCCACTTTCTCGCCAGTTGAGCAAATATTGGAAAAGGCAATCGCAAACTATAAAAGGGACTTGGAAACGTCACAGCAACTATCTTCACGCTTCAAACAAGTGCAAATTTATGAAGCGTCACCAGCTGCAGGCCCTGATCGAGAAAATGGAGACCAAGAATAGAAGCCAGGGAAAATGACATACATACACACATACATAAACACATATAGGCTATACATACCATACATATGTATGTATGCATTTGTATGCAAATGAGCTCATATTTTATGCATCTGTATCGAATTGATTACACTTATCGGTCATTTACTAAAACACTGTGTCAAACATTTTTTTTTTTGTTAGAAAACGCGTTTAAAGTTTTCAATTTGCTCGTAAAATGCAGAAAAAAATAAACACATAGGTATTATCTACTTACTGGGAAACTACACAAAATTTTAGCACTCAGTATTTGCACAATTGGGGGCTTCATCTAAAGTGATAAACTGTCGATAAACGTTATAAATGATACATTTCTATTAAAAAACCCGATTAACACGTTTATCGCCATTTTATCACTTTAGATAAATACCCCTAATATTGAGCATGATAAAATGAATAATTTTGCATCATTTGCCCAAAAATTTGATTTTTTTTAAGTTATGGCGGTCTTTTAGAAAGTGAGTGATATGTATAAACTGTTTGATTAAAAAATAAAAGAAAAATAAAAATAGCAAGACATCTTTTATTACATTAAGAACTACATATTATTAAAACGGAATTGCAGAGTTACTTCGAAATAAAAATATATTTAGAGATCACTCAAAGCACTCAGAGATTTCCATATATTTTAGATGAAAAAAAAAAACATTTTTCGTGGAAATGGTATAGAATTTTTAAGAATCAATGGGACTGTTCAGGATCTTGTACATAAATATGCTCTTGGATTTGCATATTCGTTGCATTTGTAAATTTACAAGAATAAAATGCACGCGGTTGTCATGGCAGCAAGCATAAACAAATTTATTTTGCTATTAGTCTGAAAAAAAAAATTAAATATCAGAAGAGTAAAATAAAGTAAAAAAAACGCCCCCCGAAGGGGCCAGATCTATCCTAATATATCCTCCATCCACCACCTGACTACGCCACTGTGCAGGATGATTTAAGTGTCACCGAAAAATACTTAAATGTCAAAAAAATATTATTTTTTTCGAAATTGCCTTGCATATTTACTTTAAGGGCTGGTTACTCAATGTCTAGTTAACACTAATCTCCGGTTAAACATCGTTATGGATGTCTTCGATTCCATGCATTTAACAGGGAGTCGGTAACGTCGATATCTATGTTTAACCGGAGATTAATGTTAACCTGACATTGAGTAACCGGCCCTTAGTATGGAAATAGCGCTTTCGTAAATCGGCGGTTAGCAGCTCACTAGTTGTATGTACATATATTTCAGTATAAGCAGCCATATCGGAAAAACGTGTATCCCAATAGGAAAATGTAATGTATAGTAATCGAAAAAGTAATCAGTATAACAACCCTTTTCACATTCGAAAAGGCATTTTTTACCCCAGGGCGATGTCCTAAGAAATGTGTGGCATTCAATTTGGCATTACCTAGTATCGAGAAATGAAGTTGTTTTAATATGAAATTTTTGGAACTTTTTGAATACATTAGAATGCTGATTACATAGTTATCAGTAACATAATCGAAAACCCATAAGAAATACATTATATTATTTATCAAGCATGTTACTACTTTTCCGACTGGGATGTATTTGCCGACATTCATACTGGTATGTACATACCTATGTACGTATGTATGTATGTAAACCGAAAGTAAGTCAAAATTTTTTATACAACGTGTCTCCTATTCAAATACAATTCTTTTGTAGCAACAATTTTATTAAGGAAACACATTTTTGTGAGAATTTACACAGTTTGTTATTGAATAAATAGTATCAGTGGAAATAAATACAAAATTTGGGGCTATAAGAAATGAGCTAAGCAACAGACAGTAACGACGTCAACTTTATAATATTTCTTTACTTTTCAGCTAAAATATGAAGGTAAATAAGTACATTTTTTATGTACACAAATACATTTATTAAATTTTACTTGAATTTAATTTTTTTGTTTGTTACGAATTTTTATTTTATAAATTCATACTTACGTATGTAAATGAAAGCCGTCAAGCTAATTCACCTACATACCTTCTAACGACAGGTGTCCAGGCGCTGTATTACATCTAGTTAAAATTTTGTTCTTCGCATGCAACCATACTTTATATTTGGAATATTCATCATTTATGCAAAACTAAAAAAAAATAAATTATCAAAAACTTGAGAATTGCCGTCGCTTAACTTGCGGAAACTTATTTCCGAAGCCCCGTCGTCGGAACAGAGCAAATTTTAAATAGATGTTTCATTAATAATTTATTTTCGGTGGCCGTTGCTTCAAGTAAGGCCAGGAAATGCTGTATTTTGAAAGGAATTTCCGTCTTTCTGTTTTGCATCATCCTTAATAATAATAGATTGGCGCTTATGCATATGCAAGTGTTTGGCCGAGCTTTTCCTCCGATTTGTGGCGTGCGCCCTGATGTTGTCACACAACGGGGAGGGATCTATAGTTTTACGCCGACTCCGAAGAACGGCGATTGTATTTTAATGAGAAGCTGTTTTTCATGGCAGAAACATACTCAGTGGTTTGCCATTGCCTGTCGAGGGGCGACCACTCTTAAGAAAAACCTTTTTTGAACCCAGGCCCTGCGGAGTGGAAGCGCGCTCTTCTTACCACTACATCACATCTTTACGCGCGGAAAAATCAAACTCGAAAAATAATAATAATAATAATAATCCCATTAAGAGCCATCCTAATACACGTACAGCAAGATAATTAATAAATGGAAATTAGTAGTTGTTGTTTGGTTTGAAATAAGTACTTATGTAAAACATATTTTGTGATGTACATACATACATAGTTTAAATGTGTGCCAAGTACGACTAAAAGATAAATTTGAAACATTGTATGTACATACAAAAATAAACTATCAATAAACACTATATCGATGGCTGAGTGGAAGATCGACCTATCTCGGCAGCCAGTTCGAAAACGCTCTATCTCAAAAAACTTTTCAAGAACGCCCTATTTCAGAATTTAATTGAAAAGCACCCTATCTCAAAATTCGGTTCAAAACGCCCTATCTTACTTCAAAATGTATTGAAAATATGCTGATATAGGGTTTTTGCATCGGCAGCTGAGACAGGGCAGTTTTTGAAACGAATTCTGAAATAGGGCGTTCTTGAAAAGTTTTTTGAAATAGAGCGTTTTCGAACTGGCTGCCGAGATAGGTCGATCTTCCACTCAGCCATCGATATGTACTACTATACTCACTTCATATTCACTTTTGATTATATCCACTACGACCTGGGCTCCAATTCTCGTTATATGAAATGGAGAAGGGAAAACGAAAAATTCAAAATGCCAGTGAAAATTTAATTACTTCACTTTAACATTTCATTATATCATTTTGAGCGATTCCCGATCATTAGAGACTCTTCCATTAACTTCTAGCAAGTAATTATTTGGTATCTAAATTATTATGAGTTTAAGACAACGATATTCGTTATCACAAAATGATGGTTTTGGTTAAGAAGCCAAGCTTTTCTTTTTCACGCCACAAAACTTTTTGAGAAATTAATTATTTTTATTTGAAAACAGAATCGTAATTTTATGTGAAATGATGAAAAATGTTTTCACTTTATGTTTTCACGGAACAAGAATTGGCTCCCTGAGCTGATAGATGATAAATACTCTAAAAATAAGAGTTTTATCAAAAATACATATTATTAGGTCAAAATTACTCAGAATAAATTTAAGAAAGAAAAACTGTTCACTGTTTCGAAAAAATTTAACAGGGAATTTCGCAAAAAACTATAGTAGATTTTTTTTTTTTTTAACCAGTCTAATGTGCATATGTAGCCTCAATACCAGCCTTTAAGGGTATCCTATTCAACCTAAACTAAGCAAAGATCTGCGTTTAATAAACTAGTCTAGTGCCCCTTAAACCAATGACATACTGACAGAATAGACCTGTTAATCAAGTGGTCTATTATTATTTAGTTTGCAACTCGATAGATTCAGTAACTCTGAGAACAGTTTTTCCGTTTAAATATTATTGGTCTTCACACCGAAGCTTGGTACTGGGTAAATCGTTGTTCGGTAATTTTTTCCCATGTATCTTGTTTGTACTATAATACTATTTTGCACAAACAAAATACATTCGAAAATTACCGAACATCGAGTTACCGAGTACCAAGCCCGGTGTGAAGACCCCTACTGTTTGGAATATCCAGATAACAAAATAAGTAAACGGATATTGAAGTGATATCTGGATTTTATTCCTATACACGAATTTTCGAACGGCCATGGGGCATAGTCCCAGCCTTATTACATAGTAAGTATGTATGAATACGAATACATCTTTCTGTACATGAATTACCTAATTCAAAAGATTGCTTGACACTTTTTCACATTAACTAATTTGACATGGCTAATTTGAAAAGTGCATTTCGAGAACAATGTTTGCAGATATTTGTTATCGCATTGATATTTGCTATCACAGGTATGTATATTTCAATGTGTGTACATTAGGGCGGTTCAATTTGAATGGGAGATTTTTTCAACTATGTGCGTATAGCACAGTTGGATTCTACGTGTAATTCTAAGCAAATTTGCCGAAGGAACCATGAGGTTTCGTCGAATTGAGAAAATAGGTTAATTAGGGTTTTGCTGTAGTGTCGTAAAGAAATGCTTACATTTTGTACTAAACATGCTATAAAGGGTTTTTTGGTATGAGAAATCCATTTCTAAACTTGTTTTTTTCTTAAAGCTTCCAGCATAGACCGCAACATTGAAAATTTTTAAATTTTCCTTGTAACCTATTCTCAACATTTGGCGAATTCCAAATTGATTTAAGAATCATGGTTTATTTGGCAAATTTGCTTAGAATCCTCCTATGGTATACGCGCCTACTAAAAAAATTGATCCGCCCTAGTGTACATATAGACTAGTGTTTAGATAAATAGATATTTACTTACACAAGATGTACAATTAATATACGTACATCGTTGGAACGGTGAAATAAAAGAAATAGGCTGACGCATAAAAGCTGGAAAAAAATTT